GTACGGGGGCAACACTGAGGGTTGCGATCTGTTGCCGGACACGGAAAAAGACAAAAAAATATATATATATATGTTTCTGTGATTTGTATCTTTTACATTCACGTCCACTCATGGTTCTCACTAACGTGAACGATCACCAGATAAAATCCCTATGTACAAAATGTATTTCCTTAGGTAACAGCAATGATATTTGGAAAAACTAGGTATAGCTCTCTGGCCATAAACAAACGGTTCCATGTAATATACAATCTTTAGAATGATATCAAAGGAATGAGAAAAATTAGGCAGAATTTCCAAGTGTCTAAATCTAAAGTTCTTTGGACTTGGAGAAGGACTTGGGAGTCACTGATGATTATCACAAGGACATCTGAGGGGACCTCACCCCTGTGGCCGCTGTGTGTAGCACACACGTGGTTGGCGCTCAGGCCCCGGGAGCGCACGTGGCCTTGCTGCAGCCACGGGCTGGAAAGGGCGCTCGCACCTTCCCTTCCACGGCTGCTAGGACTGTTCCAGCACGAGTAGAGACCCTGCCACAGCTGCGGGCACACAGTAGGAACTCAGAAGAGAACGGCATTCCTTGGGATCTGTGTTATTTTAGTTAGGCCTCATAAGCTTCTGGGACTTAAGCATTATCACCCTTCCTCCCATGCGGAAAGGAGCAGGGGAAAGGGCAGATCATGACCTGAGCACGAGGCTTGTGGGTGGCAGAGATGCAGCCAGAGGTCAGTGCTCACCCTGCTCTCTCCAAAGCCCCCGGGCCCGCCGCCTCCAACAGGCTCCTCGCGGGGCAGGCGTGCTGGGCCCGGCCATGTGGCTGGCTCGTCACTGGCCACACTTGTCGCTCTCTGCTGCTCTGCGCACCGTCTGCTGTCGCAGCTGTGGACACTGAGCCAGGGGTGGGCGGGAGGACAGAAAGAGGGGCTGGGTAGGGACCTTCGTCCCCAGCACCAGGCAGAGCGCTGCCAGCCTAGGTTAGGCGCTCAGGTAGCAGCTCTGCGGCGCACTGTCCCCCCGCTCGGCGGCCGCAGGGACCGCGGCGTCCCCGCAGCTGAGCGCCGGCCGAGCAGACGCCGCTGCGCCCTCCCGGCCGGCTGCTGAAGGAGGCACATGGCTAGGCGGTGACCCAGGGAGCGGAGGTGAAAGAGGTCCCCCCGGCCCGCCGGAACAGGTGCGCCTCAGAGCCGCTTCTGCAGCACCGCCACTGCCGGGGTGTCCCAGCGGAGGCAGGAGCAGGGCGTCGGGGTGAGGGGCACTCAGCCCGGGCCACGAGGGCCGCCCTGGTCCTCAGCACGTGCATTCGTGGAAGCCACGCGTCCCTCGCTTTGGAGACCCTCCGCCCCAGCTTCCCTCCGCAGGCCCGCGCTCCTGTCCAGCGCTCCCTGCTCTGGCCCGTCAGACCCCAGCCCTCAGCGCACTCTCTGCCTGTGACCCCCACCACCTCAGCTCCTCCACCTTGGAAGTGTCACCGGCTGTCGAGCTTTTTTGTAGTGGCCCTACCTTACGCCCCCAGCTGGATGCAAGCTACCTAATGCAGGGGCTTGTGTTACTTGTTTTGTGTGAACTGCAGCACTTCTTACGGGGCAGGGGCTCAGAAGATATTTAAGTGGATGAAGAGCAAAGGAAAGAAAAGCCTGGAAAGCAAGTGCAAAGCATAATACATTTAATTTGTATGTCACTGGCTGGATGTCTTTAGGCTTCCCCTGATTTCAATTAGGTTTCGTGTTCAAGATGTATTTCTTATGGTCACAGTAGACCTATGTACACCTAGGGCTAGGGTCTGAAGGTCACAGACCCCCTCGAGCCCATTCACAAACCCTTCACACACAGGTCTACGAGCTAGGTAACTGGACAAAGCAGTCCTTGGAGCCTTGGCTGAAGAAGGAATAGTCTGTATTCAGCACACACAACACTATGAGCTAAGCAGTCCACAGAGAAACTCAGAAACTCAACTGTTACCGGCAAAGTCCAAAGTAAAACTGAACCTGAGTAGCTGCCAGCAGAGTAAACATGTTCTATGGTTAGGGAGGAGCTCTCTGCCTCCAGCCTGCTTCACAAACTGCAGAACACACAAAAGCATCAACTAGGAAGATACAGGGGTGCACATGCACACTAACTCCACCCACACACAACTTGTTTACAAGAAACGTCCAGGGAGCCTGACTAAATTATTTTATTTTCCCCACAATCCACCGCTTCAGGGTCCCTCGCCGTACAGTCTACGCGTTAAGAATCTTCCACAATGTTCCCTTAGTGAGGATAAATGACCTGTTTATACAACTTATTGTCTGTTTGATATGGCTTAAGGCTTATCCTGTAGTTCTGTCCTTTAGCCACACATGTCCGGTTAGTAGTCTTCATTGGTGTGATTTTCCCTGGGAATCTTGTAGTCATACTGATGTGAAGTTCAGTGCATATTCAGTTGATGATCACGCCAACGTATGTATGTACCCAGTTGACTCTGGTGCGGTGCCTGCAGCCAGAACACTATGGGTGAAAAGACAGAAGGGTTATTGGTTCCAATAGGGAAGTTCTCACCCCTCTGGTAAGATACATGCCAGTTTGCCATCCTGAGAAAGGATGGCCACAGGAATAGGCACCTCACCTGGCCTGGGGACCCACAAGGCCATACAAACAGAAAACCAGTAGCTCGCTTTGGCAGTGGTCCCACAAGATCCACCTGCCACAGTGTCAGGGGCACTCTCACACAAGTAATCTGCCCATCAGGGGCACATCTGCTCATCAGGAGCACTTTTTCTCGGGTTAATGCGGCACCTGGCGAGCCATTGACCACCCGGCCTTACAGCCAGCATGCTGCATTCTCCAATGTAGCCACCCAGCTACATCAGCTGCTGGAGCTCTCTCCAGCCATCTTACCTTAGCCAGTGTATCAGCTTCATCATTGCCAAGTCAACATGAGGACTCCAGTCCTCGCCTGCCCCCAAAAGACGAGTACCTTGGCCTGCTCCCTAATCAAAATGGAACAGTTCATCCGCCTCCTCAGGAGCAACCAAAAAGACCTTTAAATCCACTGAATGTAACTTGCTACCTGTTTCTAGACATTTAGTGAAACGCTGTTCAAAGCACAATTGCTGCCCCAAGGCAAACAGAACTGTATTTGGCTGCCAGTCAATTTTGTTTTCATCAACCCCTGCTGCAAGCAAGTCAAGCCACATCTGCTTACGGCTGGTCTTGCTTGGTCCCTTTGGGATAAAATCCCAAGTACTTCTTGGGGTTTGGTCTTAGCCACCTTTTGGACCCCTTTTGCTTGTCTGCTGTCCTGTACTTCACCCAAGCTGGCTATCATGGCCGTTACCTCATGTATAGGATGACCAATGTATGGGGCCAGTATGGCCATCAGTGACCCGAAGGATGTTGACAGGGCATTCTGCAGCACTGTCTCTCTCATGCTGCCTGTAAAATCTTCATCATCTGGGCCACAAGTGTTCACATCAAATATGGACTGCCGCATCCCCAGCTCTCAAATTATTTGAACTGATTCAGCATACGTTTGCCATTTACTAACAATCTTGGGCAGTTCTCCAGCATTTGCCCACATGGTTCGGGCAGCTGCACTCACCCATTCCATTAAGGAGTGATTCCCTGGCCCTGTGCATACCTGCAGCTATTGTGCAGCTGCTGCCTCAGGGACAGGTGCATGGTGATGGAGTCTAATTTTTCCATCTCCTCACCAGAGCACATCACACTATCCACCCCTAAGTCCCATAACCCCAACAGCCAAACAGCCAGGGGCTCCCCCTGTTTCTGCCAAAACTGTCTCCCCAAGTCAACTAACTCAACCTGGGTATATGACACATATGTGGTAAATTGAGTCACCTGTGGATTGCCCATTGGTTGTCCGCCCATTCCCATAGGCTGCTCACGCTTCATTTTCTGATGCACGACAGGTCATGCCTGGGGACACACAGTCTCCTCCAACTCACCACTGGGTTCGTCGTCTTCCCTGGTGTGAGAAGCTGGAGTGGCCAGTCGTTGCACGTCACCCTCCAGGACATTCATCCGTGCTTCCAACAACTCTGCTTTCTGCTTTGAATCTTCCAGTAGCTGCACGTCATCTGCCAACAACTCTGCTTTCCACTTCAAATCTTGATCAGTTTGCAGCAGAGTGAGCAAAAGCCAGGCTCTGGTCCGCAGAAAAGTGGCCACTGGGCACTGCACACTCCAAGACAGCCACATTTCCTTCGCCTCCTAAGGGGTTTTCTGCTGCAGTGCCTGGTCTGTGCCGACTTTCAGTGCAGTGAGCAGCAAGCAGATCCCAGTCAACAGGAAAGTGGCCATGGGGCACTAGATGTTCAAAAGTAGCCACATTTCCTCCTCTTTCCGAGGGTTTCTTGGCTCCCGTACCTGCTCAGAATCCTGTCACAGACTATACCAATTGTGGTGTAATCCTGCCGACTATGCCAATTGTAGAGCTAGGGCTAGGGCCTGAAGTTCACAGACTCCTCAAGCCCGTTCACAAACCCTTCACACACAGGTCTACAAGCTAGGTAACTGGACAAAGCAGTCCTTGGAGCCTTGGCTGACGAAGGAATAGTCTTTATTCAGCACACACAACACTATGAGCTAAGCAGTCCACAGAGAAACTCAGAAACTCAACTGCTACCAGCAAAGTCCAAAGTAAAACTGAACCTGAGCAGCTGCCAGCAGAGTAAACCATGCTCTGTGGTTAGGGAGGAGCTCTCTGCCTTCAGCCTGCTTCACAAACTGCAGAGCACACAAAAGCATTAACTAGAAAGATACATGGGTGCACCATGCACACTAACTCCACCCACACACAATTTGTTTACAAGAAACGTCCAGGGAGCCTGACTAAATTATTTTATTTTCCCCACAACCTACTTCACAGTATTGACCTGGGCCCTTTCTAAGTAGACAAAATATTGTGAATCATCTTATTTTTCCTCCATGTAATGCTTTATTTAATGGATTTCTGAGGAGCTTCAAACACTGAGCCAAGGCTTATCAAAGAAAAATATTGCCAGTGGATCACTGAGATATATGTTGTTTGTTTCACATGCCAGTGCTTTGTAGAAAGAAACATTAACACTTACACTGCTACCCAATGATTTATCTTTTTATTTGAATGTCACAGATGGAATGAATACAGAATCATCTGAGTAACAACTGGTTTGGGAATATGTCTTTGTTATTATTGGGTACACTGCGTTTGTTAATTCCTGAATACCCCGAGGTAGTACTTTCCTATCTGGGGTAGGGGGTAATTTACTCTGCCGAAGCTATATTATTGATGAAAATATAATAGCAAAGCTTCAGGGTGATTCCCCTTGGATGGTTATTTTTTAGTAATGAAGAAATTGCTTTTAGTGGATAGAGGGGATGATGAAGGAGTGCAGGGTGGAGATTGGGGGTCTGTGTGTGTGGGAGCCCTGCAGCTGGAACACTTGGAAGCCACAGGCCAGTGACCCAAGCCCCCGAGTCTTGTGTTCCCAATCATGCAGGAGGTGCCTTTCCGTAGCACTCCACCGGCTCTGCAGTGACAAGTGAGACATCCTGTCTTAGACATTCCATGTGTACCTGCGGACACTGCCCACTGTTACGGGCATATTTGGAAAATAAAAGAATGCATGTGGAAAGGAAGAAAAGGACATTCATGTCTTCATTTGTTCTCTTTCTCTCTCTCTGCTTTAAAACACAGTCTGGCAAACTTTTTCGGTAAAGGGCCAGGTGTTAAATATTTTAGATTTTTGCAGGCCTCATAGTCTCTGTCCAAACAACTTAACTCTGCCATTGTAGCATGAAGGTAGCACAGACAATGCACAAGCTAATAAACGTGGCTGTGTACCAATAAGACTTTATTTATGGACTCTGAAATTTGAATGTCATATAATTTTCACATGCCACAAAATATTACTCTTCTTTTGCTTTTTTTTCCCTGCTCATTTAAAAATGTGAAAAGCTTGCAAGCTGTGCAAAAATAAGTGGTGGGCCCGATTTTGTCCATGGGCTGTAGTTTGCTGACTCCTGTTCTAGAATATTCGATAAGGATTTCCTTCAGTTTTGCATTGCCGTTGAGCACGTGTACTTTCCCATTTTTATCTTAGGATTGTCTCATATACACCTGAGCCGATCATCACCTCTTATTATTGGGGCTTCCCTGGGCTTGTCCGCCTCACCTGCTGGCACAGAAAGCACACTGTATAGTCTTTAAGAGGAGGGATATTGACCTGATCTGTGATGGTGCTTGTTTCCTTCTAGGGATAGGGTGGTCAGCTACACACTTGGCCGCAGGCTCCCAACAGATCATGTGAGTGGACAGCTGCAATTCCGATTTGAGATCACTTCTTCCATCCACCCAGGTATTTTCAGCATTAACTTTATGTTTCATCCTAGGCTAGTGTCATAGTGTGGTTTTTTTCTCTAAAATACAATAAACATGGTTCTTAGCAGACGTGTCCTAGGTTTTGTGGTTCTTTATCTTATGCATTTGAGGCCCAGAATCCAGTGATCTATTGTGGGAGCCAGGTTACCATCCCCATGATTGAGAGAGAGGCTTCTCTTCACTCTGGGGCCCACAGGTAGAGGGTTAGACAGTGCATGAGGGTTGACAGTGAAGTTGCCGTGGATATGCAGCTATGTCTTATTTGTTATTTGACTCCAGCACCCACATAGGAGATGCTCAATAGATGTTTAACCATCACACAAATGAGGGAGCGAGTAAATGAATGAATGAGTGTGAAACATCTCTTTCTACCTGGTACCCGGATACAGACTAGCCAGTTTTGTTGGGGAACTATGATGGTTCAATGGCTTTTTACAAACATCACTGAGAATATTAAAAAATATATAAATTAGACAGAAAACTTCAGAATCATCCAGTGTTCAATTTTTCATGCCAAAACTGTATTTCCAAATAAGAATGATATAATTCCACCTTAGCTTTTCTCCCACAGCCCTGTACTGAGGGTAGATCATGCTGAGAACTGTTATGTCTTCCTGGGCCACGTTTATGAGTTTCTGTCAATGTTAATGAATCTTTTTAGAACTTAGAGTCTGGAGTTTATAGCTACCCACTCATTAAACTCTAGCTGAATTTCTCTATGCCCAATATACAATTCCGGCCGTAAGAAAACACCTGTCTATTTTATCTTTTCAAATTCAGCCATTTTCTGTGTTTTGAGACTAAAACTGACTGTTCCTTCAGTGTAGCTTTATGGCTCACCAGAGGGATTTTTCTTTTTCTTTTTCTTTTTTTTTTGACTAGTGACTAGTAAAATGCACTAGGCATGTTAGTGGGGAAGGTCACACCTGGCAAGGATCCAGTAGAGCAGCTAGGGGAAGGCAGAGACAAACAGTGGTTGCTATCCCTCAGTGGCTGCTTGGTGTGGAGACCATGCTTATTTTTCTTTTGCAATGAACTCCAAATGTTGGAAACCTTCCAGTCTGACCTACTGAAGGACTGTGGTTGCTCCCATCTATCACCCAGCCCTTTTCTTCTCTCTAGTTGCCTAAGAACCTAGCTAACCCACTCTGCCACCCAGCAGGACCAAGCCATAGGAAACATACTGAACAAGTACAGTTAACGTTGCCAGGGATCATCAAGGAACTAACCACCACCCGATCTCTGGAAGTCATTCCATGGAGCAAACGTTATTGAGCACCTGCTATGTGCCCAGAACTGGGGTAGTGCTAGGCTTTGGGCATTTTGGCCAAAAAAAAAAAAAAAGAGTTCCTTTGAAACAGAATTCTGAAACATATCCAGGGCTGCAGACTGTCGTTGACATAACAAGCCCTCATTCCTACAGAACTTCTCAGCAGCGCTCTGGCCAGTGGGAAACCCTCGCCAGTCCCTGCACCCAATATCCTAACGCAGAAATCCCTTAGCCCAGCCCACGTGCCTGGCAGCGCAGAGGACACCCCAGTGCTCTTTCCTGGAGGGAATGACACACTTTTCTCCTTGCAGCCGACGATGAGGAGCTCTCCCAGAGTACCGAGCCGGCGTCGGCGGAAGCTCAGGCCGGCCGGGTGAGCAGCCCGGGGGGAGCCAGCG